CAAATATTATTAACAGAATGTAGTTATTGTATACAAGATGCGTAAGCAAACTGGGTCGTACACACCTTGCAGCTTCCGGGCCGAAAACAAAGTTCTGCAAATTTTTGAGGGCGTGTCTTGTTTAAGAACACAGCCGGTGGGGGCGTGGAGAGGGGTGGGGTGCGGGTGAAGGGTCGTAGGACGCGGAGATGCCGGTGGAGGCTTGAGAGGCGGTCGGGCGAGCGAAGGTCAGTGGAGTAGGGAGGGCTGGGGTGGGTTAGGGGTGTGCACTTTGTACTAATTTTAGCAGAGGTGAAGAGAGTTCAGGGATTTGTTGGTTAAGACATGTCATGTTCTGTTTTTTGACGACGTTGTATATGTGTAGGGCTTCTAATTTTATTCTGTTCCAGTACCTTTTTTCAATTTCTAGAATTCGTAAATTTGTGTGTTTATCAAATACACATGAAATTATGTGTTTATCAAATATACATTTGATAAACACACAAATTTACGAATTTTAGAAATCAATTTTTGAGGTTTCGACCCCATTTTCGACATTTAGTCACAACGTGCTCCAGCTCCAGCACCGATTGCGTGCGGTCCTTGAGCTGGCCGTCATCTTTAAGAAATGAATTATACATGCGCATCAGGTATGCTGCGGGAGTGGGTGGAGGGGAGGGGGAGGAGAATTCTGCACAACCAACGTTTCCGGGGCTGACGGTCTCAGAAACGAATGCAAATTTCATGACTTTCTTCGGGCCTGGAGAGGCCTATTTGAGCGGCAAAAGCGGTTAGGAGATGTAACGGAATGTGTTGGGTGTTAGGCAAAAAATGGCGTCTTGTGAACATCTCTGTGGATGGTGTTGCGCTATAGTGAAAGGGAGAAAGAAAATACACTCTTTTTCACTTTCCCGCTCCTCTTTCTTGTCTGTCAGAATCATAAACCATATCGTATGGCATAGAGTCTTTCAATATTTAATTTTTTCTCATCTCTTTTTGTTGCAATTTCGCTTATCTTTTGAAATTTAGAAACACTTCGAAAGATAGTCCTTAACTTGCAAAAGAAATTTCGTCAAATTGACTTCCAAAACTTTTATATCAATCACTGTCTGTGATAATTAAGATGATATCCGTAAGTTTCTGTAAACATTTGATGTTTCCGTTAGATTTAGATCTGATACATAAGTTGTTTACAAAATTGTGTTTCAACAAAATCTATCACGTTTTCCAAAATGTATATTTCTTCCTCCATAAAGCATGTCTTTCTGTTTTCGGCTTTCATAATTATTTTCCAATTACAGAATTAAAGTTAGTGATAGCACTTTTATTAAATTATCGGTAACTATTTACGTTTCAATTAAATGCTGGTAACTTGCCTCTACGTTATGAAGTATTATATTCAACTCTAAAACATTGCAATGCATTGCACTCGATTGCAAATAAATGTAAAATACACATACATTTTTTCAAAAGATCATAAAGAACTGTTTTTTTGGACTGTGTCTTCACAACATTAGATTTATTTTGATCTTTTTAATACTGCTTTGCTCGGGCAAAAGAAAAAGGTTATTTCAACTATTTTGGTTAGTAACTACCGTTACTAGTGCTCTCCATATCAGACGGTATTATATAAACGTTTTAGTATAATATTACTGAAGAATATCTCTTGTAATCTATTCGTAACAATACAGCGTTGATAGAATTGATAGATCCAATTATTAGTATTTAAATTTCGTTCATTGCAGTTGGTTCAGTAATTAACATGCTCAATGGGAACGAACATCTCAAAACACTACAAGCCTTGTATTGTGCTAGGTAAAGTAATAACAGCATTGCTTAATTTTTTCGAGAGTCTAAGGAACTAGAAAGAAGGAAGTGGTACGAGGCGGAACCCCCGAACTGACGCTGGGAGTGGGATGAGGCTCCCATCAGCTTCGAAGGACACAAAGGCACCAACGTTGTGGTTCAACCTGTTCCTAACCGGATATTCCGGGATGTTCTTCGTTCATTGCCTCGCGTTAGAGAAGAAAGTAGTAATAATTTGCAGTAATGACTGCGCCCCCTCTTACCCCATGTTGCTGTTCGAGTAGCTTCAATCGTTTTGATTCAGTAGTAAAAGTCTAATTCAAGATTCTTTTTCAAAACCAAAAAGAAACAACCGTAGTGAAAAACGTGAGATTTTGAGGTACTAGAATTGATGCTAGAGCTTTATAGCCACTCTTTTCTGCGATGTTCTGAACAAAATTAGCCGGTGTCTGTATCTATTACCTCCGAAAGTTTAAGTGATTTTAATAAAAGAAACGTTATTCAGAGTCTTTTTGGTAAAAGATTCATAGTCCTTCTCAATGTTTTGAAAAAAACTCTATAGTCTTCCTCACTTCACGTTTTTTCACTCTCCTGAAAAATTGTTTGTTTTTTTTAATCATCGATTGTGAGTAGTCTATTCATAAATTCAGATACGATTAGTAATTATTGTAGTTCAGTTGCTTTGAAAAGTAATCTTTTACCCCATACACATTTTTGCAACTTGTATAAATATTCTAATGTGTTGTGTTTACTAAATAAAAGCATGAAATAAAATTAATTTCTATCCAATATCAGTTATCATATTTATTGGCTATCGATTTTACTGATTTATTCCTTATAATTCTTTTTTCTCTGAACACTTTTATACACTATCTTTACTAAAATTCCGTGCTTTTTCTAACTTATAATTGCCATATTTCTCTGCCTGTTGCTATTATTGATCTTGGGTTGCCGTAAGCGCTCTTTAAGATGTTGAACCACATCTACCGGCTTACATGACTCAGGGATTCAATTGCTGTCCCTGCAGTGCCTCTGACCGGGAGGTCGTAGGGTTTGAATCCTAAGAATGGCAAAATTTTCAATACTAGATAAATAGATAGACCGAATTCAGACACAGTCTGGAGGAGAAATATAGCGGCCGGCTGCACAGGTCGGTAGTTTTTCGTGGTTTCTCCAATCAAAGCAGGATGGATGCCGGGGCACTACACTACCAAACGGACCACAAATCGCGCGCGATGTTTCCTTCCGTTTCCTTGTCCATACCTTACTCTTATTATATATATTGATTGATTGAATTTGCCTTATTTTACGTGGCGAGACTCGGGCCATCAGGCCCGCTCTTCCGTCTGACCACGCAAATTTCGCTACGCTCCTTTCACCAACAAGGAGAGAAAGGAGGTATTACTTGGGCGAGAAACAGGCGATTTGAATTTAGCTCAGAGGCGTCATTTAGGCTTGAGGATCTTTTACATGCAAGTAAATCTACGAACATGGGACAGCCGGCTTTACTTCCCCTCCGAAGGAAGGCGCCCTTAAAAATCCACGGCTTCGATCGGGTTTGAACCCGCCAACTTGGGTACAACAGTCCAGTACGCTAACCGTTACACCACCGCCGCCGCTATATATACACTAACATGCACTACGCAACCACATATGCTGGAAGGCGAGTCGCAGCTTAGAGCTTGTCCTGACTGGGGTGGTGCCCTTGTGGTTAGATATGACTGGATGAGGAAAAACCCCGTAAGCGTATGGTACGTGTAGATCAGCGACGGACCGCTCCATCCAGTGGCGAAAATCATGCGATTAAACACATGCACTCCACTGAGGGACTAAGTATCTTACAGGTTGACGCACCCAGAATCACTAACCAATGAATGAATCTAGTGGCTGGTATTGCAACGAACACTCGCACTCTGCACGCATTGCTCCAAGCAGTCGTTCGAGGACTGTTGAGCGGATAACGCCCGTCCAGGTGGATGATTCGGCGCAGAGGAAACGGGGCCAATCGGGCGAATCTCCTCCATCGACAGCTGCCTCCCGCGCGGCGCAGCGCCGCCTTGCGCTAACGAGCGCCCGCGGGGGCGTGTGGGAGAGGAGGCGTGGCCCCTTCCCACACTCGACGCCGCCGCGGAGTGTGGGAGACAGGGGGGGGGGGGAGAGGACCGCGCCGTCTTAGTCAATATATTCGTGGAACACGTGTGGAATGGGATGTGCATAGGTGGTGGTGCTTCCAGAAGTTTGCGGCCTGACCAAGATATCTTTCATCGATGAGAAAACCTTCTGATCGGTAGTTTTCTGTGGTTCTTCTGATCAAAACCAGGCGAATGCCGGAGTAGTACCTTAACAAACGAGACACGGACTGTGATCGATCTTTTCTACCTCTTCTTTACCATTTTCTCAACCCTTAGGAGCACACTTACACTTACCTGCACTACCACATATGCCGGGAGATTAGGATGGAGCTTATCCCCACTGGTATGGTGACAGTTTATAGTCTTAACCTTAATTGTTGTAATGCTATGGGTTAGCAGGCAACATCTCACTGAGTCTTGTAGAGAGATGTACTCGAGTTGGATATGGTGCGTGAAATCTCATGGTGTATAGCTTCTTCACGACAACGCACCTGCGCTTAGTACTTTGATTAAAAATAATATTATGAAGAGCTATAGCTCGAAGAAGTATCACCATTCACATTGCAGTCCAGATTGGCTAGCGATTTCCACCACTTTTAAAAACTGAAGAAAAACACTCCATGAAGAAAATATTCAGTCTAGTGTGAGGTAAAAAGAAGGCGTTTTCTTTTTAGTATTCTGCAAACAATAATTTACAGTATTCTTTTAAAAACTTAGAAATGTTAATATACAGATGTGAGACGTGACTTGGAGTGAACAATAATTAAGTTGAAACATGAAGTACTTTTTTATTTGCGACAAAAATAAAACATAGGCCGCCAGAAACTTATAAAACCAGACATTTGTGGCTGGAAACGTGACCAGAAACCTACCTCCAACAATAGATGTTGATTATAACTTTCGTTTTAGTAATGGCAACATTTTTTATTTAAACTCACTGAAGTCTAATCGATAGAAGTACTGGTGTTTACATCTGATTTCCGTAGTCCTATGTCAACAAGCGGTTCCATGTTGCTATTTACTGACATGAAGCACAGACACCTTCCCGTACTTGTGATTACTTTGGATTATTATTCTTTTCAGGGGCAGAAGATGGCCACATCAAATTTTTCACGGTTGTGTCGGACCCACCGGAAGCAAACGTTCGGTCACTGACAAACAATTGATGCAGGGGCGTGTAAAGAGGATTTTTTATCGAACAGATACGTACTCCTCGAAATTAAAATATCAGTTACAAATTCAAGGGGCCACTATATCAGTCATATCGACAAGGAAATATCAGTTTTGGAGAAAATTGGCTGAACGTTTTACCCGCTAGTCACAGACAGACGGACAGACGGACAGACGGACAGACGGACAGACGGACAGACGGACAGACGGACAGACGGACAGACAGACGTTTCGCCGTCAATCAATTTTTCGGTATCAAGGGCCCATATAACATGGATTCTAGCTACGCAACGTGTTACACGATTTTTTTGTAAATTTAGCAACTGGATTTACCCACATTTTCGTCACCAGGGCCCTGGAATAAGAGAATTTGTGTCGAAAACTCGCCATTTTTGCCTAGCATTACATAACTTTCTTTCTACCACGGTAGCGGTAACAAGAAAGTAAAAAACTGTCAAATGTAAATTGACCACTCAAAATATAACTGAATAATGGATGGAAATATGACAAGTTTCTGTAATATGATTACGAAAATTTTAAAGGAATGTAGAAAATGTCATTCGTATGGTGAATCCATTGAAAATGACGGGGTATTCGGCATTAGCATAAAACGTATATCTTCAAAGAAATTACCAACTCGCTAAACTGACTAAAACCTGCTTATAAAGAAAGTTATTTAGTGCTTCATTCTCTACAATTTTCAATCCTGGGTAAGAGAAATAATTAAGAGATACTAATTTTTTATCACGGACAAAACAGAAAATTATTGGTCAGAAACATGCTATTGCCTATGCCGAGCGGCGACTATCTTCTATAAAATAAAGTCAACAAGATTACCTGAACGATTGATATTGCAGTTCCTCTGACCCTTAATATCATTCATGGGATGACCAGACATCAACAAGACGACATTAACTCGGTTTTTGAGCAGGTATGAGACATAGAACAAGACACACGATTCATTACATATCTTGTTCTATCAACAAATCCTCGATTTCACAACATTCCACACGAGTAACATTTCGTTTCCTAATTATTTCTCAAAACCAACCAAACGCCACACGTCCACATTCCTTGGAGTAAGTCGGAGCCGCTCACGAAGTGGCTGCCGCGTGCCAGCACGCGCACGCGCTCGCTGACTGCAGCGTGCAAACAGCACGCACGCGGCATGCATGATTGGAAGCTTGAAACAACACGTAACTCATGGAGGTAAAGGGATAAGACTCAAAAATCGCGTGTTCGCTGTCACACTAGTGACTTTTAAAGATCCCTAGTTCAATGCCAAAAAAAAAATAGTAGAATATGATAAAGAAACGTAGCGGGATAACTGTATCTGTAATAGACTGAAATATGTAAAGAACTGTAATAGGACAAATAATCTAAGAAAACTTCAAGTGTACAAGTATGTAAAGTGTGCTTAAGAGTTTAATGAAATGTTTCCAATTTGTAGCATCAGGAGTGGCATGCTCTTGAGTTGACTCACCGTGTTCAGGGAGCCTTTGCCCACAAGATATTGAATGGGCTAAAATAATAATAATAATAATAATAATAATAATAATAACTAAATGCCTACATAAATAAAATCATCTCACGTCTGCCGTCTTAATCAGATCCTACATTCGCTACGTCAGGAAATGCAAAAGCAGAGAAAATGACTGAAACCGAAGTAAACGAATATCTCAGTCCATTATCAGGGGGGAACGTTGAGTTGTCATGTGGCTGCAAAATTGAAAAGGCCACACAATAACATTACTTCTCGAAAAGAAAATGCCCGTAGTTTGAACATTAGAGGTCAGCAACATATTTGGCATTCTTTGCGCAATAGCAGACATATAAAGAGCCAAAGAGACCAACTTTTTAGCCAACCCTGACTATTAAACAAAATTCAAATTAACCATTGAATAGCTAGGAAACGTTCTAAATGTGACGGCGTTAAAGAGGATACATTTAGTTTTAAACTATTGCGGAGATTGCAAAACAGGTTATCGTAAAGTTTACAACCGATGATATTAAAACTATAAAATAGTAGTTTGAGGGTTGCAACATGACATACAATTTTGTTTTACAAGACAAAGTTGGAGTTTGTATGTATTTAAAAAATGAAAATAAGACAATAATTACTAACTTTCAGCTTAAAATAATCAATGTTCCGCTAAAAAATGGTGCAAGTTATTTCCAGTCGTGTCCGTATAATATTGATTTGGATGTATTCGTTGTTATCGTCTTGGCATTTGGTCGTTTAGGATTGCCCCAGAATGTATCACTGTAAAATGGCATCGGTATTGAAAGTGATTACTAGTAAGTAACCCTATTAAAATTACTTTTGGAAAAAATATGCAATTTTCTTCTACTTCTGAATTGCATTACAATTTTATGAAGAACTGAGACATTATTTAAAGTTACAGTACGCATTCATTCTGAATTTATAGTTTTTTTATACCTTTCGGGAGGACCGTAAACTTCCACCTGCACTTGAGCAATGGAGTAGAATATTCATGCTCGCATGCAGAAGCCATGACCAGAATTGCTAAGTTCCTTTTCGGAAGAAAGTCTTAGTTTCCCTACAAACGCAGCCTCAAAATATTTTATTAAGTACAAGAGAAACGCCTCTTGGTGAGTTAGTTGTTCCGAAATTCCAGGGTCACCGCAAACTAAGTAGCTAACTCTCCTACTACACCGAAAATCGCAGAAATTGCTTCCACCAGGTTCGGCGACCGAATGTCAGAGTTATCCCCCGATGGACTTGATACTGATAGATACAATCTCTCTTCTTAGTGTATGTCGTATTGTATGAAGTGAAGTCAAATTTACCAATAGTATGAGAAAATAAATCGTGCGTTACACTTATGGAAACCAGTCGTTTTGTGCTCGAGATAAACGAAACAACACGTATGCTGCTAGGCAACAATATTAAGTGAGATTCTTTTTAAAATTTCCACTAAAATATGTATGTGTATCAGATATCCTAATACCTTCGCTTGAACATACATACTAGAATAACTTAGAAATATCATCTACTGTAGGTACACGGCAAATAAAACAAATATAAATGAGTAAAGTTTAAGTAATTTAATAAGTAAAAAAATCTTCAATCAAAATATGAACAGTCGTCACAGTTAGTAACAGGCCCTCCTCTCACATTTGCTTGACCAATGGAGTGCAACACAGTAAAAACAAATTTTCACAAAATTGAAGTAATTCAAAAATGATTCTTTAGATGTGTTTTCAATATTCCATGATTTGTTAGAAATAATCAAATACGGAGATAACATTTTATTGAACCCCTTTAAATATGGATAAATAAATTACCCAAAAAATTATACTCTTCACTTCCCGCCCAACGGCACAAACGTTCCTATTGGGACAGTCAGTCAACCTTTTACTCCGAATTAAATCCCGTTTTTCGAAATATTTATTACATCCTCCTTAATTCCATTGATCACCAATTCAGTAGTAATAAATTATGAAAACATTAAAATAACTGGTCAAAAGTTCCTTCCGTGAACTACCTCTAAGATTATTAATTATATTTAATGTTTAAGTATTTATGATTATAATATACAACAAAATTTATGTAATTTATGTAAAATATCTTTAAGTCCTTAAAAGACATTTTTATACCGAACACGAAAAATAAATAATTTTAAAAAAAGACATGCATTTGTCTCATATGCGAGGTTTTCATTGTTGTTTGCTTCTGGGTCTCCTTTAAATCATTGCAGTTTTCAAATAAACAGTGAGAGTGTTGGTTATGAAGTCTCACATTCCTTTGAGGTGCTTCAACACGAAGGTATTTATTCTTCTGTGCTGTGCTTAGGAAAGTTCACACTCATGCGATACTCAGGCGCGAACACGACGCCAAGTGGAAAAACAAACTTCGAGATCAATTGACGCGCGAGTGCTACACAATTGGCTGTTTGGAGAAGATTCTTGACAGGGCACGGTCACTAAACATTCAGTGTTAAGCATTCACCCGACAAATTAGAAATACTATAATACAACTCCATATAACACTTAATTTTGCAAAAAATATAAAATATGTCGACAGACATGTGAATACCACAAAGAATTTGGCGATTACTATCACCTGAAAAATATATTATTATGCAATTATTATAAATATAAATGTATCTATAATTTTTATAAATCCCCCACTTTGTCATACGTTGTATTTACTTTGTATTTACTTTGTATTTACTTTGTATTTACTTTGTATTTACTTTGTATTTACTTTGTATTCTATTTATATTTTATTTTGTTTGTATTTGTAGACTGAAGATTTCAGCAAAGCTGTCGTTAGTGTTGTTGGCTGAGATGGCTTCCATTATTTCTTCAAACCTTTCTATTGTACTATAATTTACGCTTAAATTTGACAATTCGTCCTAAGCAAGTGAAAAGACTAACGTTAATAGTGGTTAAAAAGAGGCCATGAATTATTTGTACACATATGTTCTCATAACCCTTGTCATCCGTAAGGAAAATCTCAGGTTGGAAAAGTTTGACTTTAGATTCCAAAGTGGATACAATAGTATTTTATGAAACGATAAAATGATGTAATGATGATTGTTAATTAACATGTAACACCATTACGAAGCCATATTACAATATGAGCGAAGTTTATGTACGTACAAGTATCATAAACTTTTTATGAGTGTTTAACACCCATTACTTCCAGTTTCACACAGTACTTTCCATACGACTAATTAAATCTATTTTCGATACTGTCGATTGTCTTTGTAACGCAATCTTACGAGCAAAACAAATTCCCTTTTACCACGAGTCATACATTATTTTTAAAAAAACTTTTCCGACTTTCATTTTATTATAACTAAAGAACGAAAATCACTAAATTGTGTAGTACTGTATTAAGGTCAAACCTAGCTGATGTGGTTCCATAAGTATCCGGACAGACCAAGTCTGTCGGATTATCCCCTCGTTCTATGACAATTCCCGAGTTCCATGCTGTTTCCCGAGTTCCGAACTGTTTAGTATTCATTATGTTGATCAAATGCGTAATAATTTTAATAACAATATTTCTATCACTTTTTATATCATTACTTAGCCTAATATCGGGCTACGGCGGATTTTCCTTGCACTAACTGGTTATTTACTTATTATTGACTCCTAATTTCTATTCCTCGAAATATTCTTAATTTATACAATCTATTTATTTATTCATTTATTACAACCAACCTATCTGTCCTATCTGTTTTCCGAGGATATCTGTCGTGAGAAAAATTTTCTCTTTTAATGAGCTTAAAGGAATGTCCTAAAGAGTTGCTGCGACAAAATTTTTCGTAACAAATACTTAAGCTAATTAAACATTTGAACTCGGGAATTCTGCTTACTACTACGAAATTATAATACCCATTTCGTAATACACCAAACGTTATAATTTGTTTCACTTCTGCTTATAGAAAACAAAATTGTGCACACCGGGTGGCCGAGATCGCTTAGGCAGTAGTGCCGTAGCCATCTTGGACTGAAGGATCGCGGGTTCAAGTCCCGCCTCGGGCATGGCTGTATTGTCTTTGTCCTTTCACCCCCTATCATCATCATCATATCATGGCATGTTCACAGTTACCATGCCGTTACACGCAATTGTGGTCGCTAATGACCTAGAAGTTGATGCGACCATAAATAAACAAAAACATGTACAACATATTTCTACAGCAATCAAACCAAAACAACACAATAATTGTCCTTGAAGACTTTTAAACATTGAATATTCCAATTCATACCATTATTTATATTACACACATTCACATACTTTATTACCTCCCCGTGCACGCATGATCATTTACCCCTATTATATTATTGAAATTACTCTTTTCTAAGTAAACGTGATCTTCTCATAATCCGTATATTTTACATGTCTATTTTTGTTACTTTCCTGGTTCGTGTCTCCTCTGCCTTCTTGACCGTCACCTTCCTCGTAAATGAACGCTTTAGTTCATTCCAATTACACCATTAATCATCATGTTTGTAATCTTCTCCTGCCCACACAAGATTTTTACTCATTCGACATTTCTGCCATTAACACGGCCAACTAACTTCTACCACCCGATCATCACCGTGTCGAAATACATTCTGCCTTCCTGTTCATAGAGCGCACTGTTCCTTTGTTTACTTATAAGCTGCGCAGCACTAACCACATTTCCGTTCCTCCTCTCGTTTGCCTGAGCTGATTGCTTGCTCCGTCTCTCCCCTTCCCCTTTCTGATTGGTTATTCATGTCTAAGCTTCTTATACTGTTTATTCCTTGGCTAATCGATTCTTTCATCCTTTTATATAAGTATTTAACTCACACGAAATTCCTAACGTGTCTATTTCAAGATTATAATTACAACAAATCCCATTGTTTTCGTAGTTCACTGATTACTTTACGCTTCCCTTAAATTCTTATTACTTACGAAATCGTCATATGACTACTTCAGACTCCCATTGTTTAAGTCGTACATACTTTTTACTACACTTTATTTTCACAATATTATTATGACTCAGTGATTGGCTCATCATATCAAATAACGCTCAGCTGTGGACATATTTTTTGAGTAGTATATAGTCTTATATTTCATTGTAATGATATATGTTTGCAGCCGCCATCTCATTCAGTTTTGTGGGGAGAGGTATTTGAGTTAGATGCCGTGCGTGAAATCGCATGGTTTATCTTCCTCACCACAACTCACCTTTGCTTACTGCTCAGATTCAAAAAGAATCTTGTGAAGGACTATAGCTTCAAGGAATTGGACGATTCATATTGCAGTCGAGATTGTGCACCGAGCAACGTCTACCACTTATTTAAACGGAAGAAATGCCTTCGGGGAATATAGCATCGAAGGATCACACAGCCGAAGTCAATATGAGAAGTAGAATTAGAAGTACAATTTTGTTCGCAAAATAGATCAACACTACTTCTTTCACATCACGCTCATCAGAAAGTGTCCTATCCTGAAAGTATTAATATTAGTTTCCGGACTGATAGACCATAGTCCAATTGATATTGAAAGGCCAAACGGTTCGCCTTCATCGTCATATGAGAACATCTTCAGTGGCGACGGTTCTTGCGAGAAATGTCCGGGTCGGTGGCTGACTGGCGTCAGCAGAGAACTCGCCGTCACTGAAGATGTCCATCGCAGCTGTGGGCGAAACGATTGGCCTTTCAATGCCAACTGAGCCAAGACCGATCAGCCCGGCAACTACGTCTAATACCTTCAGGGTAGAACGTTTTCTGATGAGTGTGATGTGAAAGAAGTAGTGTTGATCTATTTTTTGAACAAAATTGTAGAGTATATTTTTAAGGTCCAGAAATTTTAATGTATAGGTCTAAAAAATAGATAATTAAAGTGAAGGATGATTAAATTCAAAAGTTGCATTTTTTCTGTTTATCAAAAATAGACGTTTGGGAGACTAGAAACTTATGAAACCTTAACTTATGGGCTAGTATAAGTTAAACATTTACATTGAACGGTTACATGCAGTTTTCTGTCAACGCCATTTACTGGACAGCCAGTGTTCCAGGTGGCATTTATTAAGCATCTTACTTGTAATTAGCAATATTACGAGTGAAGTTTCGATTCTATTTAATAAAGAAATATTATCAGTGTTTAAAATTAGTTATTATTTCTTACAAACTTAATAATTAATAAAGGCTTCAAATAGGTTTCTATATCTTGATTTTAATCAGAGTTTTGGAATGCGAAGAGAATATACAGTTTATTGTGACCTTCTCACGGGTTGCCTTGGCTCAGTAACACAACCAGCGAAACATTTAATAATTGAACGATTACGAATGATTTAATTCTGAAGTCTAAACGTCTTGTTTTGTCAAACCCCTGTATTAGAATAAATCTTTATCATAATGACTATATTTAACGAGCTACAGTCATCTAATAAATAAATTATGAAACGAGAATAGAAAATTATTATTTGTGATGAAGAGGTAAAAGTTACATTTTATTATGCGAGTGAAGAAGACTGAAGGCCGACAGCTCTCGTATAGGAATCCTTCGAGCTAGATAAAATTATTTTTACCTCGTATGCCTTACACTATGTTTTAATCTCCATGTTAGCTTTCATTTTATTTTAATTACAGTATACAAATCACTTAATTGGGTATTTTGTTCAACGAGGTAGAATATACTACGCCGAATGACTGAAGCGTCTTCATCTTTGCAGCAAATTGAAGCTATGTTTTTTGCAGTCAAAGCAGCGCCTTCTGGAGAAACAGAATACTCTAGTATTCCGTTTGGTGCATAATATATGAATCCTCTTACTCTGTGTTCCACGACCAGAAACCAATATTTTTAAAACGGAATGACAATATGTAAGGAGAACAAATTGAGAAACTTCAAAAACACGTTGCTTCCTGCATCAGTTATTGTCATAAGAATGTAACCTGCAGATATGTCATTGTACTTAGCACAAAGCCTGAAAGTGTTATTGAAATAAGAACCAAACAAACAGACCTCAAATAAGGCACCAAACTTGAAAAATTACTTATTTGTGATTTTATGACTTCTATTTTTAGTTATAAGCCGAACATTCTGAAGGCAACGTGAATATTATTATTCTAACCACAAATATAATTTTAATACAGACAAACAACGTTACATAATTTAGAAATAACACCTGATTCAAACAACAAGTCGATTCAGTGCAACAGTTGTACATGCCACCAACAGGTACCTCTCTTGTTTCTACTGCAAAAACGTAGCGGCCTTTAGTTCGGCGAGCGTCTACCACGAGCGCTGAATAGTCAGGCACTACGCAGTATATTCTATCTCGTTGACTTTGTTACATGAAGATTAGAAGTGTCTTATACGGCCAGACGAAATATTTGGTATTCTTTGTTGCATATTTTTTCATCTTTTTTTTCTGAAATTTGAGCATCATGAGGCTTTAGCTCCGGAGCTAAAGACTGATCATTTAGTATTTTGTGCATGCTCCAAAAATAACAGCATTTTTCGTGTGTATCTAAAACATATATTTGCAACATATTTTTAATTGTAACAATTGAAATTGTGATATTCAACAAAATAGATTGTGGCTTTCATCGTAAGTACCACATGTTATTTATTTATTTATATCTAAGTATTGCTATTTACAATTTATTTGTTGTGAGTGAACTATGCTAATAACTTTTCTGCATCACTCTTAGAAAACTATTACATTTTCCACAATTTAAAAGTCTCTTAGTTTACAATAGTTTCCTTTAAATTTCACGAGACTGATTAGACTGACAATTTAGATTTCATAACTATGTTTTTAACGTAATACAGATAATCTTTGCTTGG